ACACTTCTAAAGTTTTTTGTGCACATACCTACATGCGTAAGGATTTTAGTTTGTATTTTAGAAGAATGGCTGGATTCTCCTCAAGACCACAGCTTTGTTCATGAAAAATTTGCATTTGATTACAGATTAACCATTATCAAATATGAGATCCCTAGAAATCAATCAGAATATATTTTGCCATGCCATTCATTAGTCATAGTAATGAGTAAAACCTTTCACCATGAAACCTTTTCACTCAGGCTGGAGGTTATCCCTTACTCTTCAGTAGGTATAGGGGCCAACTAATAAACAGTGACCATAAAAGACCTTTGTAACTTGGGAAATGCTATGAGTCATTGTCCTAACAAGTCATTGTTAGGACCACTCCCTTGGGACAGGGAAGAAGGTGGTTAAATTTACACAGTAGCTGTTAAGTTTTCTGTTTACTACATCTTGGTTTACAGAAAACAAACTGGGAAAATCCCTATTGCTTTGTACCCACTTAACTATTCTTATAGTCCTAAAAGTTATGAACATATGACTAGGTTTGACTCCTTTTTAAGAGTACTGATCTGGCCAGGCACGGTGGCACATGCCTATAATCCCAGGACTTTGGGAGGCCAAGGTCGGTGGACTACCTGAACTCAGGAGTTCAAGACCAGCCTGGGCAACATGATGAAACCCCACCTCTACTAAAATACAAAAAAAACAGTCAAGTGTAGCAGCCCGTACCCTAATCCCAGCTACTGGAGAGGCTGAGGCAGGAGAGTTGCTTGAACCTGGAAGGCGGAGGCTGCAGTGAGCCAAGATCACACCACTACACTCCAGCCTGGGGGAACAACAACAACAAAAAGTACTGACCCTAGTCAGGCACTCTGCGGCTCTGATAGATCAACTTTAGAGACTTAGCTTTCTGGTAGTCTTCACTGACAATTTGAATATGTGCTCCTTTGTTTCAGGAATACTCAAGAAATTTGAGGAAGAAGATTTGGATGACATTTTAAGGAAAAGACTGAAGGACTCAAGTGAAATACCTGGTGCTCTGTGGCATATTTATGCTGGGAAAGATGTTGACAAGATAAGAGAATTTCTCCAAAAGGTATAATTTTGTTTGCATTAACATCTCTTCACCTTGTGCAAGGACTTATTATTAGCATAACTTTGCCTGGCATTCAGCAATATAAGATCATTGCATAATTTTTACTTCAAGGTAGACGGGGGTTTTTGCCGAAAGCCTCTTTCTCTTGATCCCCTCTTTGAAAGTCTGTTTCATGTTGAGGGTTTTGAATGGCTATTTGTTCTCAGTCGGTAGTGCTTCTCCATTCCCTGATTATAAAGGACTAATCTGTTGAGCCAGATATTAGATGGGTGGCAAAAAGTAGCTATCTGGAGTTGCAGGATATATAAACTAATGTTTCATAGAAACACGTAAAGAAGGTAGGATCTTTATTTTCTTTGAATCTGATGGATATTTGTGGCTGCTGACCTAGGGAATGACTCTACTGTATCACATCTGATACTATGATACTTTTTTGAGTAATCATACCTTGACTATAGTTGTCATATACTGTGAAAGAAATATATCTATCAACCTAAAATAATTGGTTCAGACCCTTTGCTCAGATATTTTTTAAACTTAATAATTATGGAGATTTTTTTTTTTTTTTTTT